GAATCCAGAAATGACTTTTGTTTTTCCAGTTTGTACCAATTCACTGATAAATTAAATCTCTCCCAGAAAAGTTCCATTTTTAGGAGAAAATTTTGATTTTTTGAACTAAGGTGGAAGGATGAATCAACAAAAAAAAAACATAATAATAGGTCATTGATATGGACTACATTTTGCAATTCGGAACTAAAATTTCTGGCTCACTTGTCAAATCACTTATGTGTACGGGAAAACTAATGGTACACACGGTTTTTCTAAACGGAGCCAGAAATTATAGTTCCTAATTGCAAAATTTAATCGATTTAATAATCATATCAATGGCGGAGGTGCAAAACCTTAAAACTCCGTTTGCGACTATACAGGGTGATCCAAAAGTCCCTTCCACCCCCTCTAACTTTTTACCTAATTGAGGTAAAGATTTGAAGCTTCGGGGATGTTCCTAGGTCAAAGGGAGCTACTTTTTGGCCCCCCTAAAATTTTCAGGGGGGCCGCCCTTCTGGGGGCAACGGCCCCCAACTTTTAAATTTCAAATGGGAAGACCCCCTTTGTGATAGCTCTGTCGAAAGAGCATAAAAAAAGAAAACGTTTCGCGCAAACCCGAAGTCAATATCTCAAACCGTTTCAAAATGGCGGCCGGTTAAAGTTCAAAATGGCCGAAAATTCACACCGGTTATTTGTCGATGGATTTGCGCGAAAATCGGTATGCAGGGGTATTTTCTCACGAGAAAAACGAGTTTGACGTTAGATTTTCAAAAAATCCAAAATGGCCGCCGGTTGATGTTTAAAATGGCCGAAAATTTTCACCTCGGTTTTTTCCTGATGGATTTGCCTAAAACTTGGAATTTGAGAGTATTTTGGCAGAAGATAAACAAATTTGAACTTAGATTTCTAAAAAAATCAATTTTTGGTCATTTTAAACTTTAACCGGCGGCCATTTTGGAAATTTTGGTTTTTTCGAAAATCTAATGTCAAATTCGTTTTTCTCGTGTGAAAATACCTCAACATACCGATTTTCGCGCAAATCCATCGACAAATAACCGGTATGAATTTTCGGCCATTTTGAACTTTAACCGGTCGCCATTTTGAAACGGTTTGAGATATTGACTTCGGGTTTGCGCGAAAAGTTTTCTTTTTTTATGCTCTTTTGAACAAGCTATCACAAAGGGGGTCTTCCCATTTGAAATTTAAAAGTTGGGGCCGTTGCCCCCAAAAGGGGGGCCCCCCTGAAAATTTTAGGGAGGCCAAAAAGTAACTCCCTTTGACCTAGGAATATCCCCCAAGTTTCAAATCTTTATCGCAATTAGGTAAAAAGTTAGAGGGGGTGGAAGGGACTTTTGGATCACCCTGTATAGACTTCTTGCCATAATGCTTTATTATCTTCGGAAAACTAGTCAACCTAATATCTTGAAAACTTCACTGATTTTTCGTCTTTGTCAACAGAATATTCTGTATACATTTCAAGGTATGAAGTTAGCTTGGTCTTTTAGAAAAAATAAAATAAGAGCAGATATTTTGAAACACCCCAATGAAAATGTATGATTCCACACTTTGACCATCGATTTGTTCAAATCATAAGGACCTCGTACAGCTTAAGATACTGTACATTTTACAACATTTTGTTAACAGGCACTGGTAGATTTTTCTTGCTGATTCTGTTTTCAATTGCTGCATTATTTACGATAAAGAGCAGCTCTAATTATTGATTACCAGGTTACCTGCGCTTGAAATTGTTCCAGCAGAAGATGTCCGGGAAATTCTGGTTCTGGAACTTTGGCAAATTTTGTTATAACATCGTACAGGAGCCTTAAACCTTCCAGTCTCAAAGGATCACAGTCACTAGTTGCCGCCATGAATGAAAGCCTCACTAAATCTGATAAATGAAGGACCAAAAAGTCACCTAAAAATAATCAAATTTATTGAAATTTTGATGGTAATACTCTCATTAGCAAATATAAACAATTTACACAATAACAATGGGCTAGGGCTGTGCAAATATTCGAAAATCTCGAATATTCAAGTTCGAATAATTTTTCCAATATGCCATTCGAACTCGAACTTAGAGACCTCAAATAATCAGATTATTCAACACCATTGATGACACTTCGAATATCTCTCAAAAGAGACTGAATATTCGTACATCCGGCCATATTGATGACGTTCTAGTAGGAACTCGATCTGGCGCGCAACTCAAACTACTTGTTTTGAGGTTAGGTAAACAAAGGCCAACGTTCCATTGGTTCATTCAAAGCACAGCCCTGGAAGGGTCAATTCAAAATTCGCGCCACTTGAGTTCCACCTAGTATGTCATCAACATGGCATGAATGTACTAACCTCGTATCTATCCTCCTCCGCCCCGCGCACTGTGGGCCAGAGTGACCGGTTGTGCGAGAATAATAATCGGCTAACTCCGAACGAAAATCACTGAGTTTTGGTGTAAAGGGGTTTTTTGGGTCGCTAAACTCGAATCTAATGTCCGATTTGTTCAAAAATAACAAGAAAAGTATATTGATTTATAGGATTTGAGCTAGTCCTGTGATGACTCCTTTTTTGAGCAATAGTACTGGGATTAGAAACCATTTTAACGCTGGAAAAACTTCCAAAAAAAAATTGAAAAACTTGAAAGTGACCAAGAAGAGTCTGGAAAACGACCTAAGATTGTTAAAATTAGAAAAATAAAAGAGAGAATGTTCACATAGAAACGCTTTATATGTTAATTTTTTTTTGTCACTGCCTCCTTGTATTAATGGTTCTTGAGGGTTACCACACTTCAATAAGAAGAATAACTTTGCAAATTAATGCCCTGCATGGTTTAACGGTTCTAAGTTTTGCCGTTGTAAGCAATCAAGTATCATGTCAGATGATCAAAGAAGCATCCTATGAATTTTCTTGAGAGGCGCCAGGCATGAGAATGGACAACATTTACTTACAACGTTTACTGGATATTGATGGTCAGCTGATTTTTTTTACCACTCTTGCATTTGGTGCAACATTCTTGGACTTTAATCAATTCCGCCCAAATGTTTACCAATATTGGCTGAACTCAAAATTCAGAAAAAAAAAGCGGCTTTATATCAAATCAGAACTGTGTTCAAATATTCAATGACATGCCGTCGATTGAGCTACTTAACATTAGCATTTAGCAGCTTCTAGTGCTACTGAAGTCGTCAATCTATGATCATCTAGTATGTGAAAGGACACAATTAATTCAGGAGACCAAACGTCATAAGCAAAGCAGCAGGACAAAATTTACCTTAAGCCAAATGGGCCTGTTGCATGCAAGAGATACAGCCGTGCGAATAAACTTTTTAGGGGTTAAATGACAAAAAAATTACGATGGTCACATTAAAAAAGTCTGAAATACACTCCTTACTGCGCAATTTGCGTTGTTAGGAGCGCGCTTTTTCAAATTTCCCGCGTCGGGGGGCAGTTTTCTTACGGAAACAATTAACGGCAACTCGCGGCTATTTCCGGTCAACTAAAACTGACAACATAACCTAAAAATCGGAGCTCGTGATATCGTGAAATGAAATGTAGAAGGATTGCGTTGGATATTTAAAAGTTGATCGATTTGGTGACCGCATAAAGCGTATATGGACCACTATATAGCGTCCAGCCCACGTACAAACTGGGGCTCTCAAACTGGCACTAATTCTTCTATTTCTCAGCCATTTCGGCACGGAATACCTTGAAAATTTCAAGATCTGATCTGTGATGTATCCCGAACACATCGGTTACCCTCAAAGATCGTCGGCCCGACGATCCCGACGATCTTTGAAAGGCAACAGTCAACAGTTCCATCGATGAGCCTCTTTGAGGCCCCTAGTTTGTAGGTGGGCTGGACGCTTAAGAGATCACGTTGGGTTTGTGAACAAACTGAAGGAAAAATAACAACCACAACAACAACAACAACGACTAGGCATCTTCCGGAAATCACCGAGCCCGCCGTTTGCTCGTTTCCGGTGATTAGAAAACTGCCCCCAGACGCGGGAAATTTGAAAAAGCGCGTTCCTAACAACGCAAATTGCGCAGTAAGGAGTGTATTTCAGACTTTTTTAATGTGACCATCGTAATTTTCGTGTCATTTAACCTCTTTAAAGTCTATTCGCGCGGCTGTATCTCTTGCATGCAACGGGCCCATTGTACCATAGGTTGGAAGGGTTAATTCTGCATTAGTTGGCACAAAGACATAACTGAAACATTCCTAAATTTGATCATTTGGCAGCATTTCAAAATCTGAGGGAGAAAGACAAAATTTCCAAGCAAATAGCAGTTAAAGTTTGTCTGCACTGTTGCCAATCATGAGGAACAATCCACCTTAAACGCTTACATTATAGTAATGCAAGTTATGGCTTGAAAGATTGACCCAATGTCATATTTCATTAGGAATTATCATCAGTGAAAACTAAAATAGTGTGGGTTTTCTGGGGTTTTTTTTTTTACCCTCAAACTGTTTTCGGGTGTACTAAACAATATCCGTCTTCACTTAAAGGTGCATTCTGTCCTGCTGCGTCACATATAATACCTGTATGGTAGTATTAATAATTTTACTTAAAGAAAAGAGGAAAAAGATGAAAGACAGGTTTATAATGTCGTCTCATCTGAGAACCTTTTTTGCACTTATTAAATACGAAAAAATATGGCAACCATGGAAAAAAGTGCGCACCTTCAGAAGCACAGCAACTCAATTTGAAAATAATGTTACTATTCACTCAGAAGAATTTCTTTACTGTACTATATCTAAGGTCATAAATGTGAAATATGAATTTAATCATATTTTTGGTAAGTCGACTGTTTTTTAAAAAAAATTCAAAAAATGGGTTTCCCGCAGCAAAGCTGTGGTGCAAATGAATGTTGAGGACCCAAAGAAAAAGAATCTGACCTTAAAACTCTATAGAAACTTATAGAAAAAACTGCAGAAAGCTTTGTCGATGGAATTTTTAAGATTTATTAGGCACATTTTCTAACAAGATTTTTGGGCCATGAAAAGTGCACAATGGAAAAAGTGTATACATCAAATGAAAGCTCTTTTTTAGAAGAAGACGTCCTAGTGAACAAATTTTCATCCTGTGCAACCGCTGAGCCGTGATAAGGTCTTACACGGTCGCAGTTAAGGACGCACTTCTATGTATTATCCGTGCAGTGTGAGAGGTACCCATGTTCCCCCCCTCCAATACATCGCTGTTGGGCGATGATTCGATGAAATGATGATGAATCCTCATCCCTCAGAGAGGCTCTTTAGCGAGTTCCTTATCATCTATGCAAAACTGAACACACTTAAAAACGGTATTTTCCGCGTGAAACGAGCCTCTCAGGCCCACAGTGCCGCGTGGCACCACGGTCTTCACAATGTTGCCAGACTATCTTGGCGAGATCAGCATTGACGTGAAGTAAAACTGAATAAAATGAATTTTCGGACAGTAAGCAGCAGTTTTACAGCTCCGCAACAGTTCAATTAATTGCTTGACCCTAATTAAAGGAAACAATTTTCTCTCCCTCCTCCTGTTTCCACAGCAACTCAAAATGTGTGCAAAACCATTTGATAATAATTAAATGAATTGATTAATTCTTGATCTTTTTACATATAATAGTAATTTCTTTATTCAAAATTTGAATGTTAGAAAGAAAAAAATTATTCATTTGATTCTTATTTTGACCAACAGAGGTTGGTTTTGATCCAAAATAGATAAAAACTAAAAATATTTGATTCGGTTCAAATTCAAAACTTTTTCAAAATATTCGATTTGACATTAAAAATAAACATATTCGCACAGCCCTCTACAATGGGCAGAACATCAATTTTACATCATAGGAGGAAATAACAGCCATATTACAAAATGAGGAGGGGTAATAATCATAGAAATAAGACTAGCTAAAAACAACAATTTACCACAAAGCAGAAGAAGGCACACTGTGTAGGGAAAAATAATACGAGTCAGAAATCAACAATCTCGAAACAAATGCATGCAAATTTAAATTGACCTAAGGAACTCTCATTAAAGTCATGAAAATTTGAGTTTTGAGGTTATTTTTCAGTGGAGTTTACTTAGAAACAAGTTTTGTTCTGTTTCACTGACAGCCCAATTTTATCTTTATTAAAAATGTCACTTATCACATCCATTCACCAGAAGTTTTCATTTCCATAACTATGGCTAATGTTTCTTTTAAACACACTAAAAATAAATGAATTTCATTCAATTCAAGAGAAAAATATGAAATTATCTTTTACCTCTACTTTTTGTCAACTGAATTTCCTTAGCTAAACTAAGTTCAAAATGAGCAGGGCTGGCAAGTTCACATGAGTGTAACATTCTCCGTACAGATTTAGCAGCAAAAACTCTCGTGGGCCAACGTGGTTGTATGAGCGCTCTATTTGATTCCTCAGTGGATGTGAATTCTACATGATCATCATCTTCGTCCTCATCTTCTTTGTCAACTGATTTTTCACAGAGTTCAACTTTTTCAGACTCAGCACAAGTTATAGAGTCTAAAGAGGACACCAAAATTCAAAATATTACAAGACTTAAAATTGCAAAAAATCCATAAAGTTTAAGACAATGCTGGAAATTTAAAAAAAAAAAAAAAAAAAAAAATATTACTTTTTCCTGCTTTGTAGACCGTCACTTGTGATACTGAATCTCCTATGATGAATCTTTATGCCATCTCACTTGTGCTGTTATATATGCTATTTGAAATGACAACTACCTCAGAGAGGTGATGACTCATATTTTTGTGCTTTGTATGAAATATGAAAAATCTTGCCTCGCCGAATAGTACACAGCCTCCACCCACCAGAGACAGTGGTAGCTCGAATTCAAATTGTTTTGAGTTCAAGAATTGAGCTCTTGCATGCATCACAGATGTACGATTTAAGTACATAGTTTTTCATGCCTAAAATTTGTCTAGAAATTTGATGGTGCCACTGGTTTTCTCTGAAATCAACTCCCAAGCTCAAGAAAAACTCTCAAAGTTCAGGCCATAATGGAGAGGATATCCCATGCTTTGCTACAGAGTCCACCTCTACACTGCTAGTTAAACTCTCCATGCACTAACAAGGAGAAAATAAATTAGCAGGGTTGCATGATTTCCTGTCTTTGAGTCCCCAAACAAAATGGAAATCCGCTAATTAAATTGTTTCTTTCCTGTGCATGGAGAATTTGACTAGCTATAGAGGTTTAGAGTAGTTCAGTTAATCTAGCATTTTTCTAAGAAAATCTATATATAGAAGGTTTTTTTGCGGAAACATGTTGCATTAGGCTACCAGAACAACATATCAAAAGTTTACCAAAATCGGCTGTCCGCTAAGGTCGCCATCTTGAAAAAAGGAGGGGCGGGGGGCCAAAATACGCCGCCGGCGTCCGGTTTTTAGCTTATATCTTGAAAAATATCAATCCTACGGACAAATGCCAAAGAACCTTTAAAAAAGATCATAAAATTTCCTATTAGAAACCTTATACATTTATTAAATTGCGACTTCTGGTTCGTGAGATATGACGGTAGTTTCCTGCGGCTAGGAAAATCAAATCTTGCGAAAAATCACGTTTTTTCAACAAAATCTGTAATTATCTTAAAAACGGCGAGTCTGAGGCAAAAAAGTGTTCTCACCAGAGTGAAAGAGCATAAAATTTCCATGATAAAAATGCTTATGAATTCACTAGGGGGTCCGCCCCCGGAGCGCTATGCGGTCCGAACCACCGGCGGCTACTACGCGGTGAGGCTCGACTTGGCCGCTCCATGATGCGGCCATGTTAAGGTCCAAGATGAAACAGCTTCACCTTTTTGGTAGATTTACCACGAAGGTAAGTTACATTATCCATTTAAATATGTACTCCTTTCCTTTCATCATAAACCCCCCCTCCTCCTCCTTTAGGTCATTCTAGTTGTATGTATAGTTAATACCTAACCGTCAACGGTCACGATTGAAGATAATGTTATGCTTTCTTATTCAAATACAATTTGTCAAACAACAAATCTTCTTTTTTCAAAGTAACTAAAAGGAAATGAATTAACACAAAATATAGAAAGAGGGAGACAAGCATTTCTTTGCGTATAACCTTAAGGTGATTCGATGGACGCATGGACGCCATATTTTGTGTCAGAACGGCATGCGATGTATCGCATCAATTGGTTCCATGTTTT